TTCTAGCATCGCCAATCTCAAATTTGCTATTAAAATTTGAGGTCTAGTGTAATATAAAATTAAATTCAAACTATAACGTCTGAATACTAGGTCCCGAACTGAGTCCTGAACCCTAACTATTATAAATTCAGAATTTTTAGGATGTGATGCATGGTCACAGGTCACGTGAATTTCAGCATCATCTAATTTCACGATCATCCGTGATAATAATTGATATTATACAGTAATCAAAAAATTTCTACTTTTTGTATAAAATTTGATATCATTTAGTGCATCCTTTTCAATAGATCTGAACTTAGCACTATATTTACAATTCTCAGAATTAAGTTTATGATTGTGAGTATTTTTAAATATTGTAACTATAATATAGATAGATTGTTTAGAGAAATTTAGATTGATATACCATTTACATCCTTGCTATTTTGACTATTGATTAGGGTAAACATTGATATCAATACTTTTTTTGGGTATATACTTTTCTCGAATTCGTATCCAAAAGAACTATGCTTAATTGTACTATTATCACGTTGCTCAACTTTTTTTTTAATAATAGCAAATCTATGATATTGACTATAGGTTTTAAGAAAAGAATCAACATCATCCCATGACCAAAATATATAAACAACCCTTAGCAAAGAAAAATCATATAGCGTTTTGCTTGAAGATGTTTCTATATAATTAAAACAAACTTAAAACCAAGTTAAAACATACTATAGCTTTACTTTACTAATACAGTTCTGTATTATTAGCTTTCTTACTTGAAGACGTTTTTACATAATTGAAGTAAACTTAAAACCAAGTCTAAAACATACTATGTCTTCACTTTACTAATACAGTATCTGCATTATTAGCCCTTTTATTAATTGTATTCTCATAAAAGATACTAACTTCATTATCAACCACATTATTGCAAAGTGTATTAGCTTCAGCGTTAACAGTGTGTGAGACATTAGAAGCAGCATTAACTGCATAGAAAGTACTAGCTTCACAATTAACTGCTTGATCAGTCATATTTTGAGATCACCTTTGTCTATTTAATTTGAATTTGTTATAAAGATGTGAAAATGTTGAAAGATATCATTAGATCAGTTAAATTAAAAAAAAATTCATGAATGCTAAAAAAGCTAATACAAATAAAG